GCCTGGCTTCTGCAAACCGCCCTTGCCTGCCGCTCTCTGAAATTCCAGGGCTCGCTGTAGCGACATGGCACTTTGCTGCAAAAGATGCTTTTGCTGGCTGGTCTCCGCGGTCTCCACGCCGTTTGAGAGCTCCATTTGCACGCCCTGAAGAACCTCTTCACGGTGTCGACACTCGTCTGGTGAGGGGGTCTGCTTTGCCACAGCATCATCCGATAAGCTGACAGGATAAATCGGCAATTTGAGAGGAGCTTGATGCAGCTGCTGCAAGGAAACATAAGGCAGCAGGCAGGATTTGCTGAACCTGCGTCCCGTGTCGATCGGGGAGAGCGACGTGGGCCTCGCGAAGATGCCGTGCTCGTCCTCGCACTCGAAGTAGACCTACACTGCCACAACGGAAGTAAATATAGTCCTATAGGTCGGTCGACAAGTCATGAGTGACTTAGGGACCTTAGGCAGCAAGATCCTGAGCTGGGGCAACAACCGAACAGTCAATCCTGAATCAGTCAGGGCCGAGAAGCTTTGCCCTTGACAGAGCCGTTGTTCTTGCCGACTTTTTCGTCCAGTCTCAGGCCTATCCAGATTCCAGGAGCGAAATCCGTAGCCCCGACATATTTCACCGTGCCACAGTGCCTTGGTGCCAAGTCAGTGCGGGCCTTGTCAACTCACGGTTTTGAGGGTATGATGATCAATCCAGTGTGCATTGCTCTGCCCAGGCACTTTGTCCGCACGATGGTCACACGGTCCTCGATCTGAAATGCACAGGCCATCATGGTGAAGCACTGCTCACCCGATGTCTGGAAAGGCCATGGGCCATGGCCGTAACAGGAAGACAAACTGAGACTTCGCGAAGTTCAACTAGGGGCAAAAACTGTGAATGGGTGCTACGGCTTTCTGGTTTCTGCCTTGACTTCAGGGCTCGCTGCGCCATGCAGAGGAGATTGTGGTGAGCATAGATTGCCTGGAGGATCCTTTGGCACGGCCTTGTCTTGTTGAGTTGCAACTCCAGATTGCTGGGCACATGGCTTGAGCCGAGCAACTCGACAGATTCTGTCTCCACCTGGGCTCAAGGTTCTTCGGGTCAGGTAGATGATTTGGTCCATTCTTCCAAGCAGCTCTGGGAAAGCTGGCCTCAAGTTGCTCGGAATTTCCTTCGACACATGGAGTGCACGAGGAAGCGAGCACTGAGTTCGACTCGCAATGCAATCATCGTTCACCCACCTTGAAACGTCTGCTTACAGAACCAGAATTCGCACAGCATCACCGCCGAGGAACGTGAAGTTGGAACTGCAACATCGAAGCTTACTGATTCCTGATCCTTCGTGGACTATTTTGAACAAGGAAACTCGCTGTGGGCCCTCTGGTTCCAGGAGGCTCCGACAAACCAGCAATAGCATCGGCCCGATGTCATCCTGTAAATTTCACAAGGCTGTGCGAAATCCCACGCTTGAACGTCCGAGCTCTACAAACATGTATGGGTACAGAAACCCAGGAGAATGTGGGTGTGATGCTCCGGGTTTTGAGGTCCAGGCCACGCACCATGACATTCCAGGTAAGAACCTCGACAAAGCGGCCGCCGCAGTTGGCACGGAAAAGCCTGGGCTCTGCGAGGGAGTTCATTATCGTCACATGTTTGCACGCTTGGACGTGGAACGAAGCAAGGGCCTACCACGCCTACTAGCAGTTTGGAGCCACCGGACCTTGCGGCAACATGCGGCAACTGTCGCGTCCAGATGGAGGAAACTTCTGGTGCTAGCTAGAAGTGCCGTCAAGCACTTTAGATGGATGTAACCACGAAGGGCCATATCAGCATCAGGAGTGAATGGCAATTTCTTTTGGTGGCCTTCGTCTCCACAAAAAAAATTGTTGTTGTGGATGTACATGCAAGATGGTGGTACTTCCACGGGCTGACGACAGCCAAAAGGTGAATCAGGCACAAGAGGTAAATCCCAAAGCCTGTCAACAACAGTGCAACGCTGCAGACCGGTGCGCTGTGGCTGGTGGTCGCTAATCGGGCAGTCTGCATGGAAGCACACCTTTGCGGTTTGTAGAATGGGCTTTTGGAAGCAGGACTCTACTCAGGCAGAGCTCAGGCTCAACTTCTCCCGTCAACCCGAGCAATCATGACCACACTCGTGGCTCGATCAAGGCTTGCGTGTTCCCTGTGCCTGTTGTAACTTCGTCGCACTATGCTTTCAAGGCATTCAGGAGAAAACATGCTTCCTGCCTATGCTTTGTGGAAGCGTGCCCGCTGCTTCGAATTGCCACAAGAGACAAGTGACTCGACAGCCCACCATGCACTACTCATGCTTTGCATTAACCTTGCCGATTGAGTCTCTCACCCGTGGAACTCGTGGAACTATTGTCGACATATTGTAGAAGCCCCTCTCATGTCAAGGTCCTTCGCATCCAACAGGGTGCCAGCGGCAGTCAGGGCTGATGCCATGAGGTAGCGCGGCGACGCCGTGCATGCCAGTAACTACCCAGGATGTTACACTTGGCAAGGCTTTGTTCTACTGAACCACGACGAGTGATTGAAGTAAGTGGTCTCAGTCGTGCTCAGTATATGACCAGTCTGACAGGACTCAATTCGCAACACATCGAGGAACAAGTTTTCCAGGCGAGATGTAGTGACTATGTAGTGGCTTATAGGTCTCGACGCAGAGGTTGAAAGATCAAGCAGAACGACCCCGAAGCGACCATGCAGCTCTTGGATCAAGCACGGCTACGATTAGCCCTTCCATTAGCTCAGAAACTCCCTGAATTATCAAAACCCATCTTCGGCGTGTGGAGCTTCTTTTGTATGCAGCTCACCCGTCTGCATGGCACCACATGGAAAGCGCAAAGCGCTGGCCGTAAGTCGGGAGCCTCTGCACAACAGGTAGAGCAAACCCGGGAGTCGGGGCATGCTACGATGCATCATCAGATCAAGTTGTCGTGTAGCCATGGACACAAGCCATCAGCAGTTCCGGCGAGTGATGCCTATGCCTGCATGGAGACACCTCTTCGTACCGAGATGATTCTGTCGACTTTGAAAGCGAGCGAGAATCGAGCTTGTCAACTATGGCATCCCTGCATGCAGGCACCTAGTGGCAACCTGTTCCCCTCTTCTTCTGTCCCTTTCCCACGGCGTCTCCGACGGGCGGCACTTCGTGCGGCATGTCCGACCGAAAGAGGATGAGTGAGCCGCCCTCCTTGGATGGTCTCTTGTCTGCTCGGTGCTTCTAGTGAATGGATGTTGATGGAAGCCGTGTTCATTTGCAGGCAAGCTTGCATCATGACACAAGGAGCTCAGTGAGCTCAGCAACCAGGTTCTCTGAAGTCAGACTGGGGTCAGAGCTCCATGGTCATGCAAATCCAAACAAGTCTCAGGCAGCACATCGACATAGTCAGCAGGAGGAGGCTCATCCTTGCGACCAAAGGCTTTTGCAATGTATTCAGAACCATTGGATCACGAATCGTACAATTCAACTTGAAGCTGTTGGCTCTAGCGTCGGGACAACTCATAGACCTGCTTCTGCTTCTGCTTCCTTTAAGCGATAGCTCTACCTGCCACAACATCTGAAAGCTTCCGGACAGAAAGGATGTCTGCAGTTTTGAAAACGATCTTCCAATGCGGAGAAGCCTCGTATTCCGAGAAAAAACCCGCTCGACTAGATCCTGCCGTAACCAGGCTCCATTTGGGCCCGAAAATAGGGGACCCGAAATAGCAGGATCCTTATTCTGAGGACCCCAAAATAAGGTACCCCCCCCTTATTTTCGGAAACGCCCATTTTCACACTGAGCTGAACCCAAGATCTCCACATAGGCCACCCCCAGCACTACCGCAAAGAAAAAGCCTGTTTCCAGCAACCATTCCTGCCCCTAAAGCGTGGATTCCGCGCCCCTACCCATTGTAAAACCTCCATATGGGTAGTTGTCTGGATTATAAATCCCTTGTTAGGTCCCAATACAGTATAGTGCGGCATGCTTATAAAAAGGACCTTTAATTAAAAGAAATAGCAATATCCCTCCATCTGGCCCCAAGTGTGACAAAGAGCCCTCTCTGGCCGCACTGCGTGGGCTCGGAATGAGCCGCCCAGGTTCTCCCTCCAATCCTCCTGCAAATACCTGGGCCACTACTCGTTGCATGCCGCAGGTCGATGGGTTTGCTTCCGAAACTCCAAGTTCGACGGAGCTGGGTGTAAGCATGCCAAATGGGAACGTGAAGGGGCCGTGATGCTCATACTGGTAGCAAAAAACCAAACAGCACAGCGGCAGGATGGCGGTGACTCGCCGCTTGTAGGCCAGGCGATGATGCTCTGGCAGATCTTCCGGGTTGTAATCTTTCTTTGGGACATAGTCCTCCGGCCCGACTTCTTGTGGTTTTGGGATTTGGGGTGCAGGCATCGGTCCTCTTATTGCTCAGGCAAACCTGCATCACACATATCACACAAGGTGCGCCAGCCTCCGGTGCCATGTCAATGCAGCTGTACTGCGATTATGGCTAAATATCCNNCCCCCCCCCCCCCCACCCCTCCCCAAATGCCTCGTGCACATGGTAGGCCACACCCTCGCCATCGTAACAAGCAAGCCTCGGGATGGCGCAGCTACCGCGGTCGGCACACCTGTCGACATTGAGCATCGAGCTCCCTCCGTGCACCCTCGAGTCCCTTTCGAGCAGCTCGCGACACACGCCCATGTCGTCATCCCTTCCCCACACTCGATGTTCGCGTCCCGAAGTCTCACTGGCCCCACACCATGCTCGCCGAGGGACTGCAGCGTGCCAGGCTCCAGGGGCTGTGAACCCAGCTCATTCAAGCGGCCGCAGACGCCTCGTCCAAAAACTTATGCGAGGGTGAAAAGTTGAGAGTCCCTTGTTGGAATCCAGCAAAACACGTTGACTGAGATTCAGCTTGATGGGTACATAAACAGCCGGACAACAGCACAGAAACCCGAGCAGCTTGGCATATGGAACTTACTGCTCGTCTGCCAGCACTTGGCAAGGCTGCAGGTCTGAGGCAGTATGCGAGAACTTGCCTTGCGGCAAACCAAGCCACATCACCCTGAACTGAAACACTCAGCGAGGAACCTGCCATGAGCTAATCAAGATGGTTCCCCACACTGTTCGGGCGTTCGCGTTCCTTTGGACTGGGCCCACACATGTATTCGCCCTTAACCCGCCTACGTGTCTTTGGACTGGACCCGAGAATTGCCCTTACAAACCAGTAAACTCCCTGAGCAGCGAGCTTGGTTAGCTTCCGGGTAGATGTGAAGACAAGCCAGCAGTTTCTCGCCAATCATGGGCCTTTGGTTCGTCGCTCTCGAGATGAGTCATGAGTCAGGACGCCAGGATGATGGCCTGTAGAAGATTACCTGATTACCTGTGCCCGACTTTCCAGAGTTAACAGTGCGATGTGAGTCGGAAACCTGTGCGCTCTCCACTGCTCGGCAGCCTCTCTGCATGCTTCTGAACCTCCTGAAGAGCTTCTCCAGATGCCCTCCAATCACTCTGCAAGTCATGGCATGGTGATGCTGATATTCCCTCGTTGAATCACGCCGCCTGTCAGGAAAGCTGCTCCATAGGCCAGGCCAACCAAGCCTTCCGCCTGAGTTGAGCGACAAAAAGCGAGCGCGGGAGAGACAGAAAAAAAGAGAGTGAGACAGAGAGAGCGAGGAGAAGCAAGAGAGAGGGGGAGTTGGGAGAGAGTGAGAGGAGCTGGTGCCGTTGAAGCAGTGGCGCATCCTGCAATCGTATCCTCTGCAGTCCGGTAGCAGCAGCTCGCTGTGGATCGAGGATGGTCAGCACTGGGAGACTGCCCAGGTATCTCCTCAACACCATCCAACGCACGCCTTTCTTAGAGGCTTGGAGTCAACACTGACTTGTCTGGGACGTAGGCCGTGCCCGGGCCCTTGCCAGCAGCTCTTGCAACCGTACTAAATTGCAGCTCTGATTCTTGTATTGCTCTGTCCTGAGTGCAGGAGCAAGCAAATGTTTCCTCAACTGCTTTCGCATACATGCTGGCCATGTTGTCGCGGCTGTAGAGAGCCTGCGGTGTCTGGCTACACAACAAAGCCGCAAAGCCTCAACGGAATTGGAAAAAGCGATGGGGGTAAGAACAGAACACTCTTGTGCACAAGGCACAGCTGCGGCTCGTTCGGGTCACCTGCCGAAGAGCCGCCCCACTGCCAAGAAAACATGACATTCAGCAGGCTCCACATCATTTAAGGACACATGCAATGAGCAGCACAACTCGACTGCCACTGCTCTGTTGGGTTACTGACGCTTTTGCATAACTCCTCGACAACGGAATATCTATTTCCTGAACAGTTCGCTGATTCTCGAAACTCGAAACCCCATTTACCCTGTTCAGCCGTGGCATTGCGATGCATGTCTGGCACTATGAAACAATGATCGCGTCCGAGTCCTTGCTTAATGTCTGGCCGTCCGACCCAATTTCATCGCCAGGCCTGATGGCGTCAAGCGGCCCTGTCGCAGCAGGTGCAAAGCATCCTCGCGCATCAGCGCCCTAAGCTCTCGGGTCTCAATCTTCTAAAGCTGTGACTCGCCTCCCGATTAGACCAGGGCCGAGAGGCACCATATCGCCTTCGATGGCTCCACGCAGCCTCGCACGACTGAAATTCACTTCGGGAATGTCTCTGTTGAAAGCACACCCTTTCAAGAGATTCTGTCAAACACCGTCGGTATTCGGGTGAACGATCCTCCCCTCCCCTCGCTCGAAATGGAGCGAGGTACAGCGACAGCCCGTAGAAGCGGCTTGGCCGCTGCAGGGCCCGGGCGACGCTCTCGTTGATGACCTCAGACTTTACTTTGGGTTCCGCTGGCTTTCGCTCCGCGAAACCTCGCTGAGTCACGGTGGAGTCTTATCGTCCCAGTACCACCAAACGGAAGAATCCTTGTCCAGACGGACTGGAGCCTCTGCACGAAGGAACCCAACTGCCAGCTGTATCGTAGCAGACCTCTTCAGAATCAGTCGGGGAAGCGGACAACCCTGAAAAAGGGAGAGGCACCTGGGTGGCTCTGTCTCTGCCGGCGAGGAGCGCCTCAGGCCAGGCATAAAACGAAACCACTGGCAAGAAGGACAGGGCACCGCTGACATAAAGGGCATCGCCGGCCTTATCCTGAAAAGTCACCCACGCTCCAAGCGCTATCGAACCTGGGCTCCGCGCCTCTTCTGCATTTGCACAGGGCTTCGCCAAGGTCTGAGGGAAGGTCCTTCAGAACTGGGAAGCTTTCGAAGCGGAACTCGGCCTCGCCTGAAATCGGCCGGGAGCTTCGATGATGTTCACGAGACTATCCTTCAAGGATCCAAAGGCTCCCGTCCTTGTCCACAGCTTGGTCTCAGGAGAAGGCTGCCAAAGCTTCCTCGGCTCCACCGGAGTGCCGAGCCTGTTCTGTAAGCCTCGTAAGCCTCAATCTGGCACTGGGGCCAGACTTTTCCGGAATACGGCAGAACTCTGCAGTGTTCGACGGGGTGCTCGGGAAACCGGCCAGAAGTAAATTCAAGCAAGAGCAAACTCGTCCAAGTATGAAAACCGTATGAAAACGAGTTGCGGAAGAGCAAAGCTGACCGCAGTGACCAGCAAGCCACTGAGCCAGTAGCCAGAGAACATGGCACCAAACGGATGCACAGGCTCAATGCAAACGAGTGCCCACTACAAGGGCAAACGCGGTAAAACATAGCAAAGCTGAGGCTCAAAGTTTGGGGGGCGCAGGGTTGCAGGGGGGAGGGGTAACGCCTTCACTGGCACATTACAACGGCTCACGGGCTTTTGGGGGAGCGGTGGGGGAGGTCCATCTCAGCCGAAAGCTTGGGATCACCAGGGCCTGCCAAATGCACATTTGCTTCCTCATCCAGCGGAGACATCGGACCCAAACTAGAATAGTGCTTTCGTCTGGGTTCAGAGGCTCCAACAGGCGGATGCTCGAATGCGCTTGTAATCTTAGCCCCTCGACGCTTCGTCTGAGTCTTGCGAAAGCCTCTAGGATTGTCTCAAGCGCCCTCGCCACATGCACTCCCCAGTGCCAGTCCTCGGGCCCAGTGCTATGGATGACAGAGCCTGGAACAGGAAAGAGCGAGAGGAGAAGATTCTAACTGCCCCAAACCTGGTGTCGTCCACAAACTCCCCAACACGAAGCTCCAGCTGCAATCTGGCTCAAGTGCTGTTTGAAGTGATGGCTTCCGGGAATCACGACTTTGGGCACCTGAGGCGCTCACACTCGGAGCCTGGTGCTGCCGTGCTTGGAGCCGGGTGCCTTCTGGGAGCCAGCGGGGCAGCGCTGCCCCGTTAACGGAGGCTCAGGCTTGGAGAGGAAATTCCATGTTTTGGGGGTGCTGCAATCTTGCGCTGCCGACTCTCAGGGAGGGACCACGTGCTTGCGGGTGCCGCAAACAAGTCGAAGCAAGGGTTTCTCAGGGTACTGCAGAGGCTGCAAAAAATCAGCAAAGGTCGCCGGTGGTTGACAGTTGGAGTTGAACACCGGCAGATTCTATCTAACTCCACTGCCTGTAGCCTGCAGTTCTCGACAGTTTCCGGGCTTGGAGAAATGATAATGAACTGTGCAAACTACAGTGCCGTCTTGAATGATGGTTTGGGGGCACAGTTTAGCTTAGTATATCATGGCATAGGGGCCATGGATAAAAGAAGTACTCTTGCTGTTTTGTGTCTAATAAGCTGACACAGCTCAATTATGGACTTGCAGCGAGCCCTAAATCTCAGCAGCGCCAGCCCGAACCCTACAATCCTGAACCAACCAAGCTGAGCCCTAAACCCCAGCCCCTAAGTCCCAATCCCATAAACCCAGACCCCCTACGGAATAGACCTGAACAACTCAGCGACGGGCTCCCAAGGTGCTTTTGCATTGGGCCACAAGGCTAACCTGCAGGCCGAATCCGACCCGTCGTCCGTGAGGGTCTTTGTCAAAAGATGTCAAAATGATCCTACTTGTTTGGGTCCAGAACACCTGGGTACCTTTCCAAGGGTCTTTGTAATAAGGATCCTACTATTTCGGCGTCAGTGACATGGAGCTAGGCGAGGACTTTCCAGAGACCGATGTTCGGAGGTGCCATGGAGTTTTCTTGGGACTACGATGGCTCCTTGTGCTCTAGCAAGACAAATGCTGCGAGAACCTCTTACAGAGCGGGGAGGCACGTATTCCGGCGTGCCGACAAGCTGACTTTTCATCCATCCACGGCTGGTATGCGGCCCGCTGCAGTTGGTAGGCACCTGCTGCTTGGGCGGCCCATTGTGGTTCTCGCCCAAAGCACGAGAAATTCGCTCGTCGAGCAAATTGAACACGTCCAGTTCTGATAGCTGTAACTTCAGGGGAAGAACAACTGCACACGGCATGTAGCCTAAAGGAGTGCCATGTACTTCTGTGCTTTTGTGCCACTTGAACGGCAGAAACAGAACTTGACATCTTCCGTCAAGACCGTAGGAACTGCCTCAAAGCCAGGTCTGCACTTCAAGACGACGTGGGCATCTTTTGATTCTGTGTTTTATGAGAGATGGTGGCCGCATTTGCGGAAAGCGTCCGGAAGGGCCTTGCATTGTCCTGAGGCGTATCCTACGTGAAAAACTGAAACAGCGAAGAGCGACTCTTTTTGAACTGTGTTACATGTAGTGTCTGAGGAGCTACAGGCTGCAGTCCGATGCATTTCGTGGTCGCGTGTTCCGTTGTTGCGCTTGGAGCTGCTTCACCGGATGCAGAGGTTCCATACCAGCCCGGTGCTGGAAAGCGTACACAAGCAATGGCCCTTCTAGGCGTCAGCAGGCGGGCCACTGCTGTGAAAATCAACGAATGCATTCATAAAAAATGGCTCATGAAAAGCACCTTTTGAGCATCGCGGTTCATAACAGCCCAATGCCACCCCCTCCCGATCGGCAATGGTTGGTCCACTTCCATATTCATGCAACTAACAGAGTGGAGATATACAGGACACCATGAGCACGTTTGCACCCTTTGAGAGCAACGCCCGCTTGACAATGAACTGTTGTGCTACTGTAAGGACTTTGCATCACCACCACGTCCACGATACCTGCATGCCGGTGCCGCTCTGCTATGCGGACTTGCCGTGACTTGGCTCTCGAATTCTGAGATGGCTGAAAACTCCTAACAAGTCGATGTGCCTATCACACTCCAAACAAGCCGATCCTGCTGCTGAAAGCCCAGGATGCAAGAAGCCAATGCAGCAGGTCTGCTAGCAACCTCAACACGTTGTTCACGGTGGCACGGCCGGCAGGAGACTGGCAGCAGCGGGTATTCCAACTTAGCTATCCACAGGGCATCGTTCTTGTTTTAAGGCGCTTCAGGTCTGTGGGCTTCACGAAGGGGTGTAGGCTGCCATCTCGCTATTCGGCACTGGCTGCTAAACGCTGGCCAATGGCAATGCCCAAGGCTGAGAGCCGTTGCAGTCGCGGGGTTGCACAATATCAGCACGTAGATTTCAGGGTACGGGGCCTGCTTCACTGCCCCCTTGTGGAACAACCCTTTGCATGTAGTCTGCTACGGCATGGGTTGCGGGGACCCAAGTCTCCGCCCAACTCAACTGGACACGCACCGTTGGGCTTCGTCCAGGGAGAGTTGAAAACTCTGTGCTCAAGAACGCACGTTTGGGCGCTTTGCACACACAAGTTGCCGGCTGTTGCGAAGTCATGCTGGCATTCTATGCAAGTCGATGCTGGCAATGCAATCTGGAAACCTCCTCACTCAGGTATGGACGAATCAAGGCCTTCTAGTGAGACCTGAGACATGCATGCATACAGAACACCCTGCACAGGCTCCCAGAAGTCCAAGACAAAGTCCCTTCCTTCCGAAGACGTAGGGCGAGGGTCTGAACTCGTTCACTGCCAGATGCTTTCTCGGACACACGTGACATGCCACTTCGGAGATACCTTCAGAAGCCTCTGCCCACACCTATTGCCAAACGTAGACCTCAGGCGGTTCCGAAAGCCGCTTTGCAAGACTCGCTGCGCTCAGTGTGCAACTTGACTTTAAAAGATAGTTCGGCATAGCTCCTGCGGGCAGGTCGTTGGGTATACTGAGCCAATCGTCACAGAACACTATGCCTTCCCTGGGCTAGTTGTGAGCGCGAGCTCGTCTGGGACCAGATGCCGTCAAGCGGTCATGTACTAACTTCATATCAACACTTCCCATGCTTGGGCTCGTTCGAAGTCGACCTCCGAAAACAGCTATCTATCATCTCTGAAGGCACGTGAACTGGAAGACAGATAAGACCGCAGCGGTTGAACCCCGAGATGGTTGTTGAGCCTTGGTAGGTGGGGAAGCCTCTAACTCCAATGCTGGTGTATCTGACTCGACCCAAAACGTCTGCCCTGCTGGGCCAAACGAATTTCCATGCAGCGACTAAAAATCAAGTCGGAGGCTCGGTGGACTTGTGACCCAATGGTGACCCAATGCAGAGATATGAAACAATAGTCGGGGTGGCAAGTGCAAGTAAAGTAACCCGTGCAGGGCTTTGATGCTGCTGACAAGATCCCCGTGCTTGCACGTTCATCGTTCTCACTACTCGAGGCATTTGCATTTCGTCGCCGGACAATATCACTGATCACCTACTAGACGAACAACCTCGTCCTTATCGGGTCTCGGAACCATTCGGCAAACCTCATCTCAGGCCACCCGTCACGGTCATACAGATCCGGCAGGAACTTAGCTAGTTGAAAGGAATGAGAGCCCTAACGTCGGTACAAGCACACACCCTCGCCGTTGATCCCAAACCTCCGCATCCCTACGATGTGGAGAAAGTGGGTGCTGTGCAGCCATCACGCACAAGTGCCTCTCGAGTGGGCTCGTCGGGGTGACTGTGACTCGCTGGGCCATGCCGGACTTGGAGTACTATGGAACATGATAATAACAAGCCGCCACTCGAATCATTGGGCCCGATAGGTGATGGATGGGAAGGCGAGTCCCATTGCCATGTGCCTATGCAGTGCACACGGAGCAGCCGCAGTCTTCCTGATGCTCAAACTCTACGACATAGAGAGGCAAGGTGGAGCCCCGGTCGTAGAGCGTGTACTCCTTGGTTTGGGCTTCAGAGTTTTGGGATGCAGCTCAGAGCACGGGCGAGGGACAAGGTTTGGGCCACGAGGCCTTGGGGCAAAGACGAGCACCCTATGTGCAGCTGTTCTCAAGTGGCCTAGGCATATGTGTACATGCAACAGCAATGCACACATTTCTTTTTAGACAGGGTATAATTATAGGATTGAAACGAAACTAATCCATCAAATAGAATAAATAGTGTCTAGTATGTGTATACAATGTGTAATACTACAATAACATCATGTAATACAATATAATACAATGTAATATAGCATGCTGTCTTATAATGTGAAACAGGATAACAGTATACTGCAATGAAGAAGAAAAATACTATCGCACAATGAGAGAGAGAGAGAGATATATATATATATACATGTATGTATAATGATATATATATATATATAATACGTTGTGTGTATATATATATATAGAGCTCACCTCCGTGGACCAACGTTTCACATGTAATCTGTTAAGATCCAAAAAACCTGAACCAAAACATCAGAAAATTCTAAAACACACACAAGTTCTAAACGTTCCAAAACCCACGATACGAATTTTTGGAATTCCAAAAAGTCTAAAAAGTTCAACATTTGAAACATGCCAAAAATTTTAAAACACCAAAATTCCAAAATCCAAGACCCACAGAAAAAACGTTTTAGATTTTTGGAATTTGGAAACTCTAAAACTAAATTCTGCGGGTTTTGGATCTTGGACTTGGAATGCTTGAAATATATCGAAATGGAAAAATTAGTTTTGCTTGTCTTGGAATTTTTGGATGCTGAAGAATTTTACTGAATTCTAAAAATTATTATCATCGGTTTTGGACTTTTTGGAATTTTTACGACTTCATGTGAAAGGTTTGCCCATGTGAATCCTACATAAGATCGTAACGAGGGTTATGTGTGCACACCTTTTGATTCTGTGTGTAGCTCATAGGTTATTCATGCACCAATGAATATAATAACTATTATTAGTACCAGTGCTAATACTAGCATTTTAGTACTCCTGCGAAGAAAAATAATCAGATTCATGTAGATATACATCTTAATGCTAGTACTGCAAACAAAACCAAATGACATACTAATATTGATATTAATATGAATACTCTCACGAAGTTGAATACTCATAGTAATACGAGTAGTGAAGCCAATATGGATATTAATATGAAAACTCATGTTAATCCTAATATAAACATTGCTAGTCAAACTAATACTTATAAAAACACTAATGTTCCTACGAATGCTAACAACTATAGGCTTATGAATAATACTTAATTCTGACTAGTCTTAATTTTCCGATTAACAATATTCACTTGGGTAAGCATATTCATATTTATAATAATACCAATCTTAATACTAGTACTTTCAATAGAACTCATACTTGTACCGATGTTGCTTTTAACATTAATACTAGTGCTCAAAGTGATGTGAAGAATATGAATACTAGTGTCCTACGAACACTAGTAGTCATATGCATACTACTAGTAATATTAATACCAATATACATACTGATGCTACTACTCACACCAATACTACTGTTCGTCTAAGTGCTGATATTCTTACATATAATATTACTAATATCTTTACTCACTAGTCTCAATACTTATATCACAAAGCTTATCAATGCTCATATTAATACTAACATTAACACGAATACCAAGGCTGCTACAGTAACCGAGTTCATATGAGCGGCTGACTAAACCTATGGTTCGACGTAAAGCCCGCGAGAACTCAGGTCGGCCCCTATCGGTTATGCAGGGATCAGCTAGAATATGCCCAGGG